TGGATCGTCAGTTTTCAATAAACCTTATTTACGGTAAATACAGGGCGCATTTTAAATTATTTGAGAGTATCAGTCCACTCCCAGTGTAAGGAAAACAGTGACCACAACTGAAAAGAAATCTCTAAGACGGTATACATACTTGGATAATGCACGGTTTTAAAAACCGTACAACTCCTTTTATTAATGAACGTATGGTAAATCAACAGATTACCCAATAGACTTTTTGGTCGAAAGGTCTCAAGTTTTTCTTTCGTTACTTTAATTTGCTCCTTTTCGTGGATTTCTATGAGTGTATTCATGGCAGTCTTTATATTCCTTGCTTGATTGTAGAAGTCTTCCTTTAACAAATTTTCGCGGGAAATTTGCGTGCTGCTGTCCAAATACTAATCCATTGCGCATGACTTTTATCTGACCGCTGTGTTTTAGCGCTCTATGCGACCTTCCCAGGTGAGGTACTGGGAAATAAAGCGCTTTCCCTTCGGTGTTGAATATACGTTTCACTATTTGGCCCGGGCCACATTGAGATATCACTAAAGAGACATTGAAAGACTCTACACACGGACTGCTACGTAAAGGGAATTGTGTGTTGTTTGCAAAAGTTTGGTGAAAATCTAATTCAAAGAAAACATGACCTTGCGTAAAACCTAGAGCTGGTGGTCAGAATGGCTTTGCTGGAGATAAAAAAAGAAGAACAAGAGAGCAATGGTCAACCCCAATCTGAAGTTTATCAAAGAGAAGATTTGTTTGAAGATGAATTTGATGGCGAATTCTGGAGAAAGGTAATAAACAGGAACTGTTAAAGAATTACTTAGCCTAAATCAAGCAACTACCACCGAGTATGGACTACGCGATCAGCGAGTTCCTTGCTTGGGCTGCAAGTCTATTGACACATTGTCCTTAATCATTTAAATCCCTCGCTTTATTAATTTTTTCATAGGTTAATCAAAAACAGAGTGAAGGATTGTCATGGACGAGAGCTATGGATGAAGTTAGTGTGCAAAGTATGATCCAAAAATACAAGGACAGTGGACAACTGGCTTGTAAAGATCCAGCACTGCTGATGTTAAAACGATGGCCAGCCTCGAAGCAGTTCAAAAATAATCCTGAAGATCTCTTAGCCCTAGAACAGACGGTATGTGTGAGTTTAGGAATTATATTAAAGCGCGGACTGGTGTTCATGAACGAGTTTGCATTAGTTCTTAATTGTTTGTACTTTAGAAAGTAGTCCTCATGATGTGACATGATAAACACGTCATCCAATTGTTTTAAGAAAATGATGTAACGAAAAAAGGTTTAGTTTAGTTTCGTTTATTGAGATTTGCCACTGAAAAATACCATTTACAAGTAAATACATGAACAGAGACACGCAATAAATAAACAAAAATATAATGGCAGGGGAAAAATACAGGTTTGATCTAATGTGATTAATGGGGCTGTATTGCACGGATTCATTGTTGTGGTCAAAAATATTCACAGAATTACCACAGAAAAGCTTCAGCGATATAATTATTACATGACTGACTGGTGGGCATAGTGAGCCATAGTTACTGAATGAAGCTATTAGGTCTATTCTCTCTGTTTTCTAATTCAGAGTATGTATAGGGCTGAAAGTCTTGTTAATTAAAATGACTTACAGCTAAATGTTTACCCCTTTCTTCCCAAGGAGGGTCAAAATCTTGTTAGAAGACCAGGACGAGCTAGTTGGCCATTAACGTAAAATATAGTATTTGATTTTGCATATAGTATTTGATTTTGTCATTAAGTGCTTGTAAATTGGACAGGCAGTCATAGCTAAATTGCCAATCAGTGTGTGCATGGTTTATCTTGTTAATCATGTCATGTAGTATAATTTCAGAGCTGAGCAAAGAGTTTCCTTCAATCTGACCAGTCGAGCGGTTCCTTAAATGATGCTATATAAACCGCTCCACTTGGCTTATCTAAAATGTTAATAAATGTTACTAAAATGTTCTGATTTTAGAAATTTCTCTGTTGTTCAACTCTGAAATATTCGTCGAATAATCGTCGAAAAATCCCCTCGACTTCGTCTCGGGGATTATTTGATGATATTCACCTCACCCTCGGCGAATAATTGTTAAATATTAGACATCATATCTTTTTGCAGGTGAATCGTTTCTTAGAAATTCTGTTGGAAAGTGAAGTGAATTCAGACAACAAGTATGAGACTTTTAGAGATACAGAAGATAAAACAAAAAAGACACTGATGCACTATTCAGCAGAGCTTGGCTTTTTACATGTCACTAAAACACTTCTGAAAAAATGTCCACTGCTACTTCGTGTGAAGACAATGGAACCTAACAGGAAAAAAAGGTGCTTGTTACCAGTTGACTTGGCATTGGAGGCAGAGAATGATGATGTAGCAGCTTATTTAATTAGGATGATGAGACAAGAAAGGTACATTCAAAAATCTCTTACTCATTTCAGGCTGAGGTCTGTAACTTTTGTTATAAAGGGGTGACTAATTAAGTTTATACAGCTGGAAGCCATTACTCTCCTATGAAACAAAACAAGGTAACTTTTAGTCTAGTTAATTTTCTGTTAGTAATTTGGTTTTGCAGAGCCTTACATATAAAATTGTGTTAATTAATTTGTTTTTGGTTTTTATTTGTTTTATTTTTCATAATAATCAGGGCTCGACACTAGCAACAAGTCATAGGGTAATAGAAGTTTAGTTTTGGCTAGTGGTTTTTTATTTCCACTAGTTAGTAAACAAACTGTAATTTTTCGTAACACTTATCACTAGCCACTTGGCTAGTAAGTTAGTGTTGATATTACTTGGAATCAGATCAGAACAGTGCATGCATGGGTTTACATGTCAAGTCCACCTCAGTCTGAAATGTGCATCTGAAATCTCAGCTTATAATTACTGCTGGTAAAATTCAGCCAACTAGAATGAATTAAGAGAGACCGAGACATGAATTTAACATTTAACATTTAACATTTATATAGCGCAAACTACTATATAGATAATCAGTCGCGCTTTTACAATCAGTTAAGTTGAGATTGGACCTCAGAATTCATGAGGCGCAATATGCAGCCACTTCAGTCCATGTATTGAACTTGCCTTCCCTCCCCAATTCACCCTAGAGTAGACTCTACACAAAGATAGACCACAACAATGGGCACTACGTGCTCCACTCTTTTTAAAGAGTGTGTGGGTTCTTTAATGTCCCACAATTTTTATCACATATAAGGGCTTGTGAGACGGGACCTCCATTTATCGTCCCTATCTGAGAAGACTAGAAAGTCTAACCATTTGTAGATATTATTACAAAGGCAGCACTTTCTTCTCAGTCATTTAAAGACCCTGAGTGTTGGTCCGGCCGGAGTTGAACTCTAGACCTCCCGCACAACAGTCCAGCGCTATACCAATTGAGCTAATGAATCTCATGCATGCATTGTAAAAATGAGTAATAGTGAAAAAATGAATTAGTAAAACTTGGTGATATTTTTGGATGCAAGTTTTTCTTTTTAATTTTCTTTTTTAGTATCCAGGCTTTATATTCTTGGAGACCAGAAGACATGACCAATCCAAAGCCATCTATCTTCAGTTTTAAATCTATTGTTGCAAATCCTAAACTGAAGGTCAGAATTACATCAATGTCTTGCAGTTTTTTTAAGGAAATGTTTGTAATACTTGATGTTGACAACATTTATTGTTTTCATGAAAATACAGAACAGTTCTTCTTTTATTTATACAGGTAGATATACTATCATGTTACTTTGTATATTCCTCCACAGTTTAGTACATGTGAAAGTCACCTGTAGAGCAAACAATCAGGAACTCAATATTGAATTGCTACATTCTCTTTCTTACATATTGTTTCTCATCTCTACCCTAAATATGATCCAAGTGACTCTGATATAGTGAATGTTTTTATATAATTAAGCATTCACACTAAAGAATGTCTTACCTCCAGTTCATTACTTCTTTTTATATATTATATAATTTAACATCATTTCATCAGTTTTTCATTGGATAATTCATAGAAAACAGTGATGGCTGTGCTTGACCAGATGGTGAATCCTCACTGGCCCTATCTTCCAAAACTTAAAGAGACCTATCAAACTGANTACATGGTAGCTTACAAGGCTGAGTCTTGTCGAATATCAAGTTCTGAAGAGTAGTGGCTAAAATTAATTCCTTTAAACAAAATCTAACTAGTTAAGTTCTGTGATTGTATATTCTGTAACTTACTTTAGTACGAAGTATGGCATAAATATCTATGAATATATTTCCTCATAAATACACACAGCCTTCAAGCAGCATTGTATGCCATCTTCTTGCTGTTCTTGTCATATTCTTTGCTTCATGCCTCTACAAAACTGGACCCCACCCAGTACAGCGGTACAGGAGACCAACTCCGTGGATTTTGTGAGATTGTTTCCATTGTTGTGGTTATCTTTTACTTCTGTGAAGAAATCAATCAAATGCGTGTGTAAGTAATAAATAGTTAATTAAGGCGAGGGTGAATAGATGAGCGTTACAATTTAAACAGGACTACTGGAAGTGGTGATTGTTTTTTTTTTTTTTCAATTATTGCATGCGACGTATTAGAACACATACTATTCATGTCACTTTTCAGTCCCGCGGGTTTTATGATCTATCGCTGGTATCGAGCCGAAGCAAGACCGTTTCAGCTTTTCAACGCCATCTTGTACCGACACACATGGTGTCGATCTCATCTGGGTATCTAGACTTGCTTCGATCTGTATGCTTTGGGAAGATATGTGGTTGAATTACAACCTTTTGGTAGAACAAAATAAGTTTCTACAAATCATTACTGTGAACCAAGCCACCATATGATGTTCGTAGGTTTTTGGTTTTCGTATTTTCGTTTCTGGTCTCAGTCTCAAATCTTTCTTTTAACTCTAATGTTAGAGTTATTCCAAACGTTGATTATGTATTTGCTTATCCTCAAAAAGTTTATTTGGCCTTCTATTTTCCAGAGAAAGGCAGTCATACTTCACGGAGTGGATGACCCTGTTTGACTGGTTAGGCCTGTTATTGGTCATGTGTATAATACCCTTTCGGTGCGCTAGTAGCAAAGCACAATGGACGGTAGCATCTCTAGCTATAATGTTCAACTTCCTGAGGATTTTTAAGTTTTCGTCTGTGACAAGGTAAACCACAACTGGCGAGCTACAGTTTTAGTAATTAAACTGTTCTGCAAAGAAAAGGTTTCTTGTTTTGAAGGTACACACAATTTTCTCACCTTACAACTGATTTACCATTTATGTTGTACAGTTCCTATATCTTACAAAGTGCCTGGTCCTATCCTTTCAGGACTACAGGCTTGTATACGAAAACCTTGGCTAAGATCATCCAGCAAGACTTGACACGATTTATGGCCGTTTTCGTCGTGGTCTTTCTTCCCTTCTGTGGAGCCTTGTTTATATCTCTCCGTTGCTCTGGACAAAACCTTCTATTTAGGTACGCCTTGATTCTTGAGTTTGCTACAGTTTCTCGTAACAGGTTCATCCATAAATTCCTTGCCACTTTAGAATGCCTCAGTTCATGCCCGAGTCGTCGCTCTTTTTCGAGTAATTCTGTGTAAGTATTTTAAGCAACTTCTACGTGGAAGGTCACTGTTCACAAGACTAATTATAACCTTTAATTGTAAACTTTACTGGAGAGAAAAAAAGCAGCACGAGCTAACTGATTCTAATTGCGACGAAAAAACGATTTAACCTTAATGAAAGTGAACTCGAAAGAAATGACTTAAAGAAAAGCACATTATATTTTATTCTTTGATTTGTGTCTCTGCGTGCACGTCGGTATTTGAACCCTTGTTCTTTAGTCCTTTTGTCCAGTCACGATGACACGAATTTTCTTTTCTTGTTGCGTAAGCGTTTATATGATTTAAAGTAGTACTTTAATTCACTTTTGCATTGACTTAGTGGCTTAGGAGACGTATTCCTGAGTGGTTTTCGAGTTTTGTCCGAACAACGACCAATTGCGGAAGATTATTCAAACTTCAAGTAAGTCAATGATTAGTATTTCTCCATTTTGATTATTACAACTTGAAATTATTATCAGCTCAGGAAAACAGCTGAACGCTATTATACGTTGTGGGTGTTGTCTCCTTGCCGTCACGATGTTTGATGTATATTTTGTGTTGTAGCTGGCTGTCAATACTGTTAATGCTGGCGTACATGGGGACTGTGATTGTGGTTCTACTTAACATACTCATAGCACAGATGAGCACGACCTACATTCAGGCCAAGAAAGTCGCCCATCTGGAGTATGATGTGGATCGTATTTTACAGCTCACTCGCATGGAGTGAGCTAGGAGAGATTTCCTTTTCTGGTATGTTACTGTAAAGTTTCATGGAGACCAAGCGTTGACTGAAGAAGTGGGCGTCATTGGGGTTACGAAGTTATATGAGCGTGTGTGCGAACAGATAAGTGTGGGTTAAGTGACGAAATATAGAGGCAAAGGACGTTGTGAGGATACATGAGAAAATACCCCACTGTTTGAGAGTGACAGTGTGGAAGACTAGCATTGCCAACATAATTTGAATTAGATCTTTAACGGTATGTACCTCACATTTTACTTCTGGTTTCAGAAGCGCCTAGCATCTCAGTCTAGCCCAAACGTAAGGTTGTGAGGCCGTGGCAAGGATTTTATTGTGTATATATCTCTTAAAGTAAATTGTTTAATGAAATCAGTCATAGTTTGATTGTGTTATGTAGAATTTGCGCGTAAAGTACTACAAGGAAGCAGAATGGATCAGTGAAAAGAAACTTGCGGAAGGTTTGTTTTTAAACAAGATAGTCCATAGTCTTTTTGTTTCGATGTTGCCAATGACTAACCTGGAGCTCTGACACACCTGACAGGCTGAATGTGAATGAGAGGTTGGTCTTCTCCACTCAACTGTTTCCAAATTGCATTCAGTAAAAGAAGAAATAAATAGAGTTCTTAAGTAGTTGCATCTCATGCTTCGCCGGTGGATGCTATCTAAATGCTCTATTTTTCTCCTAGAGCTTCTAGAATTTAGTGAGGATCGCAATCCTTGGGAATCAGTTGAAGA